GTTGTAGCGTGCTTGTAGTTGCATTTGTAACTGTAGTTGTAGTTGCAGTCCTGGTGGTATTGATACGTGTAGTGTGCGTAATGGTAGCTGTAGTTGTAGTGTGGTTGAAATGAAAATGAAATTGAAGTTGTAGTTGCACTTGTACTTGTACTTGTAGCTGTGGTGGTAGTGGTAGTGGTAGTTGTAATTGTAGCTGTAGTGTAGTGTAATTAGTGGTAGTGGTAGTTGTAGCTGTAGTGTAGTTGAAGTGGAAGTGGAAGTTGGAGATGTAGTTGTAGTGTAATGGTAGTTGTAGTTGTAATGTAACGTAGTGTAGTTGTAGTTGTCTATCTGTCTGTCTACCTTTTTGTCTCTCTATCTGTCTATCTATCTGTCTATCGATCCATCTTTCTGTCTATCCGTCTATCCATCCATCCATCCATCCATCTGTCTGTCTGTCTATCGGCAAGCTTGAAAACGAAGCAATTCTGTGTCCTCAGTTTTTGAACGTGACGACATCAAAAACGCGGCAATTCTGCGATACCTTCTCAAGTTTTGAACTTGACAACGTTGAAAACGAAGCAATTCTTCGAGACTTCCTCAATTTTCGACATCAAAAAAAACGAAGCAATTCTCCGAGACGTCCTTCAAAAATGGAAAGTTAATCAGTTAATTAGCTGAGTGCAGAGCTGACGGCCTCGTACCACTACGTTTTGCGATTTTTCCACTCTATCTGTCTACAGTACTGCCCCTGCCACGAAAAAATGAGGCCAGGTCATACGAAATGCTACACCTGTCACGCAAGACCATCTTAGCAAACCTGACGATGTGATGCACCAAAATGCAACCCCTCTCAGGAAATCAGCGCCCTGACCTACTAACATCTCTGATGAACACGTCTCTTGTACGGCGCCTGCCACGCGAAATGCATCTTTGCAGATCTTCTTGAAATGTGGCATGCCTGCCATCGTTATTGCAACTGCTGGAAAACCCCACGTCTGACTCACATTTGACAAGGTGCACAATCCCCTGCGCCTGCCACACAAAACCACATCCTAACTTCAAAAAGTGTTCCGAACTTGGTGTGTTTTGTACATTTTGACTTCAGCGTGCGCTTTTTTGACATCTCAACTTCCAAAAGTGCTCCGACGTTGAGGTGCCTTTAGCATTTTGACTTGGAAATGTGCTTCGCGCCACAACGGCGTGCAATTTGTCATCTCTCATCTGGCCACATGGCTCCGCACCCGCCGCTTTGGCGAGCCTACTTTTCGACCCTCCAGAGCCACAAAACATTGGAAAAACATAGTGTTTCGCGACTTTTCTAACCTTTCACGCACCTGCATCTTCTTTCTTCTGATCTTCTCTCTTCTTCTCTTCTCTTCTCTTCTCTGACTTTTCCCACCTCTGCTTTTCCATCCGTCCATATTGTCGGAAGTTTGACTTCTAAACTTCCTTCGATCATGAACTTCCTCGATCTGGGCCTGCTTGCGAAATCCCCCGCAGGAGATGCACTGCTAAAGGCCAGCAGCTGCCACGCTCACAGGCATACCTCACGTCAGGAAACGGCACATGTCATTCCAAATAGAGCTGGGCAAAGGCCTGCTTCAATATCTTCAATGAAAATTTATCAGGTGCTGGTGTTGCCATGCATTGCCGGGCCACATTGCGGAGTTGAAGCTGATCCTGAAAACAAAGAGAAACGGCTCCATACCAGAGATAAATTACCATGATCACCAATCATTGAAGCAACCACAACGACGCATCACACTGCCTGAAAGAGATGTGTAGGGACGTGTGTTGATTGTGTTGAGCGAGAGTCTCTTCAATACATGTCTTCCATATGCATATATATATAATACATATAATATATATATATAAATATACTATAATTATATATATAATAATTATATAGATATATATATATATTATAAGTATAATTATAAATATATATATTATAAGTATAATTATATATATTATAATTATATATATTATATATATATTTATATATATATATATTCTAATTATATACATATATATATACATATTAAAATTACATATATAATAGTTATATATATATATTGTCGTAGCCACAATCCAAATTAACTTGATGTAATTTGACAGAACATCAAAAACGTAATAGCTTTGCATTTGCATGTGATCACGTGTAAGAGTCCTGTCCCTGTGGACTAGCCGGGTCTCGAAGGAGCTGAATATGCATAGGGCCTGCCAAAGGTGAGCAACTGTTCCTTACTAAGTTACTAAGTGCCAAAAGCAAAATCAACCTCTGGGATCCTCTGGGATCCTTGCAGCAAAGAAATGTCCACATTCGCCAATGACATCGGTTCATATCTGTGCCATGCCTGCTGCCAAGCTTCTGCGCGACCGCAGCAGGAGACCAAGGAGTTCAACGTGACCCCATCCTGTACATAAAGCGAACAGTCCGTGGTTCACATGTGTTTCTCATGTTTTCTCCAATAATCTCCAACACACTCCAACTCTGCCCGCTTCAAGTGCACGTTCCGGGTCTCCCAGCCGCTTGAAGAGAGATCTTGGGCAGCTCATCAAGGCAACTGCGTTGCAAACAAAAATTGAAAGACTAAGAGCATGAAAGAGCACTGACAGCCAAGGGTTCGGGCACAGTAATTTCACAGACCTTTCCAAACACCTTGCAGGTCTTATCCCCATCTACTACTGCTGTGAAAGCAGTGTGAGTGCTTCATATTCATACGTTTGAAGAATACCATCGCGGCTACTTGTAGGGTGAATCAGCATGCCCTCCGCACCCAACTGCCTCACCTTTTTCTTGCCCTTTGAAGAGTGTTACATCTTTTGCAGCGCTTTAGTGTGACAACATTTAATTTGGTCTGGTCATTCTTAACGAATTACCGAAAGGAAGGTGACGGCCTGCTGCAGCTTACAGTTGAAGGTGTCGCAATATTTGGTCTTTGACATCAGAAGTCTTCAACACGTGTCTGAAATCTTAGCATGCAAAGGCGCAAAGGCTGTCAGTGGATATTTCTGCGGAGGCACAATCACCTCAGTCGACCGGGGAGGCTTTTGTCTCTATGCCAGTGTTGATTTTCGTTTGGACACCTATGGGATAAAAACATGCTAAAGCGAGAAGGGCAAGCAGGAATCTGCCAAATGGCCGACTGGAAAGAAAAACACTAGAAACCAACGTACAAGTACGAAATCAGTGAATATGATCCGCATGATCGATCGGCTAAAAGCATTTTAAAATCAGCATCCTGCAATCACGTTTTTTTCACTGCCACCCGGTCAACCCTCTAGTTGGGATCACATTGTGACAGTTTCATCACTGTTGTCCGTAGACTGTGAACATACTGTGAACATTTGCGAATTGCTCAAGGTCGGTTTCCGACTGATGTATCTGTACCTTGCATATCCTCATCATTCTCAGTGGCAGCAAGCCGGGACTCTAATTCCTCTCTCAATTGTTTTGCAACGTCCCGGTCACGGGAGGGAATGTATAGCCTGACGCCAACTGGTTTACTACAGAGGGCTTGGGGGCAATCAGCTGGCCCAATGAGTGGTTGAACATCATTTGCCACATTTTGCCACATCATTTTGAGGGGAATATCAGGGACACACGATGAATTCCACCACCCCAAACGCAAAGCTTTGCCAATTCAAAATAAGTTCGAGAAGCTTCATGTTGTGATAAGACGTGTAGGCCATCAATGTTATCACCACCGTGCAGTACATCAAATGTACCACCACGTCGTGGTCATAGATAGGGCAAGGCACATATTCACCAGATGTTTGCCACCCTCCACTAGGGAGCAAAGTTGATGAGTCGGTTTTGGGCACCATGATTTTGGGAGAGGAATAACTAATTGGAACCAAGCACATGAACACCTTGAGCAAAGGCAGTTGCAAATAAATCTGTCCAACGCCCGCTTTCTTCAGAACGTTGTATTTTTCTTTGCTGAGGTCTCCATCAACCTGCCGGAATTCAGCCAAGCACCAATGTCTCAAAACATCAGGATCTCTACAATGAAGAGGGGCTTAAATGGCTTTGCAATTCAAAAGTCGCAACATGTTGCAACAATGTATGTCTCGCAGGTACCAACTTTAAGTGGCCAAGGCCAAGGCGGCTAAAAATTGAGACTACAGGAGGATGCGTGTAAAATTCTGTGAGAAAATCGCTTGGCCGTGCCACCAGCACCTCGCCCAGAGCGTAGGCCACGCCATTCGCTATGATGGAAAGACCAGCAGTTCCAACGAAGGTGGAGGAGATTGCAAAAACGATCAAAATCACCTCGCGGTTCATCATCAGTGTCATTGGTGTCATTGGTGACAGTTGAAGCATCTGATAAGCAACCAAGTGCATAATCAAACTCTGAACTTTGATGCCAAACATTCTTCAAATTACATGAGGTTGGCAAGCAAACAACACAAAACAAGTACGCTGCAACCCTGACGTTGCTCCGCGTCTGACTTCAGGTGGCTATGAAGATAAAGTTGATGTTATTACCCCAACCAACATACTGTTCACAGGGGGTGGCGAAATTTGATCCCTTATGGAGATATACTTGATGTTATTACCCCAATCAACATATTGTTCATAGCGGGTGGCGAATTTTGATCCCTTATGAAGATAAAGATGATGTTATTACCCCGATCAACATATTGCTCATAGGGGGTGGCGATTTTTGATCCCTTATGAAGATAAAGTTGATGTTATTGAGCCAACCAACACATTGTTCATAGGGGGTGGATAATTTTGATCCCTCATGAAGATAAAGTGGATGTTATTACCCCAGTCAACATATTGTTCATAGAGGGTGGCGGATTTTGATCCCTCATGAAGATAAAGTTGATGTTATTACGCCAACCAACATATTTTTCATAGGGGGTGGCGAATTTTGATCCCTCATGAAGATAAAGTTGATGTTATTACCCCAACCAACATATTAGGGGGTGTCGAAATTTGATCCCTCATGGAGACATAGTTGATGTTATTACCCCAATCAACATATTGCGCATAGGGGGTGGCAAATTATGATCTGTCATGGAGATATAGTTGATGTTATTACCCCAGCCAACATATTGTTCAGAGGGGGTGGCAAATTTTGATCCCTCATGAAGATACAGATGATGATTCATTATGATGATGATGATGATTCATTATGATGATGGTGATGATTCATGATGATGATTCATGATGATGATGATGATGGTGGTGACGGTGACGGTGACGATTGTAAGTGGGTTGGGGAACAGGTACCAACACCAAATCCGCCGGCGTGTCTTGTGGATCTTGCTTGTTCGTCGTTGTGCTGTCTGTTTTGCCTTTGTGTTTGTCTAGACTTTCCCCTTGGCGCGGATTTTTGCCTCGTCTAACTTGAACCCACCCCCTCCACCCCCCTACCCCCCTCCCTCCCCCCCCCGCAGAGCTCTTCTTCTCTTCGTTTTGTCTTCATCTTTCCTTACGTTTTGGTGGGCTCAACTCTGCCCACGCCTCGCTCAACACCGGCTTGGTTTTGCACAACTTGCTGTCGTTTCGATGGTTGTTTCCGTTTGTTTGTTGTGTTTGCCATCGGTTTGCTCCGTCGCTTCTTGTATCCAATACTTGATCCACTGGCTTTTGTGCCGAACACCTTTTACACGCATAACCTTTCTAAATATGGCCTTTTCCAAACCCTTTCTCAACATGGCCTTTTCCAAAACCCTGGTTTACACGCATGCTTTTGTTTAAACTTGAACTGTGGTTTGAACAAAACCATCAAAACCAATGTTTTTGCGTCCAACCCTCGTTTACACAAAGAGCTGTTTTACACAAAAAACTGTGTTATCCACAAACACCATGTTTTACACAAAAACCATGTTCTTGCTGGGCCTGTGCAAGGGCTATTTGCAGCTTACAGGATAGCTCTTTCCATGGTTGCCGGCAGAACACGCCGAAGGCGGTTAAATACATCCAAATACAGTATGGATGGTACCAGTAATTGTGTGGGTGAGGTGCACCTGTGATGTGCTGGCCAGTCAAAGAAAAAACAGGCTCAGCAAACTTCAGTCACCAGCACCAGTCAAAGGATGACAGAGTTGGGTGGCCCACATCAACTTTAGTGAAATACAGAAAGCAACTGTCCAAACATTGACCCCTCTAAATATTCCCTCTTTGGAAAAGGTGAGGATGGGTGAGGCGAAAGCCTGAACATAGGCGTACGAAGCCTTTCAGAAACAAGATAAAGCACTAGACGGCTTGCATACTGAGCATGCATACTGCGTCAATGTGAAGTGGGTGCAGGATGATGCAGGACCCAGGTGCCTGCATTGTGTTTCCGATTGGCTTGGGGTAAACGCACCAGCCACCAGGTACGCGCTCAACCTGTAGCAAACGCATGCCATGGCCATGAATGCATGCAGCACTAAGCTGCTCAAGATCCCAACATGAAGCTTAACAAAGAACACAACATAATTACATTGCCATACATTGCCAAAACATTCCAAAACCATGAAATATCACGGGCCTGTGTCGGTACCATGCTCACTCCTGCTTGCCACGTGCTCAAAATGACGTAGCTCCAAATGAAAAAGGCCACGACCTTTTGGGGGGATGCTGACAGGGGGCAAGTAAGGCAAACGTGCCATTACATGACTCATGTCATGATTGTCATGGGTCGCATGTGTCCTCCTCATCACACTTGTGGTCTTTAGTCTTTAGATTGCAATTTCAAGGGTTGCCGTTTTTCACCTGTTTTCCTCTCTCCCTTTCTCTCTTTCTAGTCCCAGCACTCGTTATAATCATGTGTCATGAGCGGATGTGAAGAGGGCGGCAAAAACACGCTGCTCTACAGCATAGCATCATGCATGTCCATTATCTATATCCCTTACGAACACCCTTTTGAGATACAACTATACGAGGATGATTAAGGGGATGTCCTCCATTTCCCAGCCACCCTGGGGACCCTGTCTAAGGTTCAGGCCCGAAAAGCAAACCGAAGGTCGTGAAGTTGTAGTCTGTGAGGCTCCTGGTGCGACCCAAGGCTTCGCAAATCAATGAAATTAGATTCCGTAAAGTTCCTTGTCAACTTGTTGGCCACAATAAGCCAACGAACGATACTCTCGATTTTAGCAATGCATGCGCTGGAAGGAACACTTGTACAAATTGATTGCCTGTCCTTGCTCCAAAAGTGCCCTAAGGCTGGAAGCAGGTCATTGACACCTGCGCATCTGCGAAGGAAGAAGCGACACTGTATATAGATATCTGTAGATTGTGTTAGTATGTGTTAGTATGGTCAGTATGGCGCCCCAACAATGCCCAAAAATGAAGTGCATGTTCCGGTGAATGATGGTGAATGCTATCCTGTTGATCAAGCAACTTGCATTCTTCAAGAAGCTGCCCCACTGTGACAGTCGCACCTCCACACAAGGATCCACACCACCACCGTCTCTTTGGCACCTTTATCTCATTTTTCAGGCTAAGGGCACTCAAAACTTGGCAAGAGTTCCAGGTCAAAGCAGCACAATATAACCCAATCATGTATATCATATATCCTCTATCCTCTATCTATCTATCTGTCTGTCTGTCTGTCTGTCTATATGTACATATACGCACATATACGCGCATGTATATACATATACTTATACGATCTTATACGTACATATACCATGGATTTGTTCCTGCAAACAGGCTTGCATTCGCACTTTGACCGAAAGGCAATTCAAGGTTACTGAGGGTGGCACCTTTCGCATGAGCCGCCGTGGGGCTGGTGGCTCGCCCAAAGCTTGCAAAAAGTACCTCAGCGTAGATGACTAGAGTGACTAAAGCAAAACATAGCATAACATAGCAAAACACAATTGCATTGGCAAACAAATGAGAATAGATCCTCCAAGTGATTCCTCATTTCGCTGTACTTCTGACATCTTCTGACTATCTGATCATATCTGATCTATCTGTGCCCAGAAACTGCACTAAAGAGCCAATGGCGATGCAAGAGAAAATTGCAATAAGCAATTCCAGCACAAAGCCAAGCGCTGGGACCCACAGGGATGTGTAGGCGACCTTGGACATCACAAATGACTAAAAATCGCAAATCATGACAAATCCCAGAGTTGTCACAGTTCTTACAGCGTCAGGAACACATTGAGAATAGTTGATGAATGTTGATGATAAGGGTTGTGATAGCATTCCTTGAATAAGTGGCTAGCAGCTGGCACTTGATCATTCATGTCTGACGACTCACCCGGAATTGGCACAGAAAATGTGCCAAGGTCTTTCAAGCTAAGCTGCTCCCGCTGTAAAGATTGGAAGAGTGCCTTATGATGCTGACACAGCTGCGCGCTGTGCGCCGCGTCGGATTTTGAAAATCAGTGCCATCACATACCATCGCTGCATGATTTTCATTGATTTTCTATATGCTATATGTTCAGGGAAGCTAAGAACACGGATATGACATGATATGATATGACGAGAAAGTAAGTGTAACAGCGTAACAAGTCTGAATCTTTCTGAAACATCCTGCCATCATAAAAAGAGTTGTGGCCAAACATCCATACAGCCACCAGACAACCATGGCTGAAGCCAAGCTTCTGATCGCCATGGCCAACTGGACATTCATCGGCGTCACTGCATGGCCTTCTCGATGCAAAGTCTGCTCCAGGGTCATCTGGTCCTTATGCCATTGGTCTGGGCTAGGCATTCCAAGCTTCATTGCGATAAAGACAAGGGTCGAAATTTCGCGGAAAAGGCTCATTTGGTAAACGAAACACATTTTGTTGGGACCTTTTGACCTTTACCTCCGAGCCTTTTGAAGGTTTTGGACACCAGCGGTGGAAACCATTGACTCAAGTTCATTCAATTCAACTCTCTTCAAATAATATCTTCAAACGTCCTCAGATTTGGAATTTTCGCACTTCTGAATCTGCGCTATTTTATGGATATCAAAAATTTGGCCCACATGAAATATTCCAAGAATAGACACCTCCACTGTACCTTCCAGCTTTCACTCTTTCTCATGGATTTATTTGTAAGTACTCATCATCATCTGTCACCGGTTCTATCATATGTAAAGTTTCCGTTTCTTCAAGACTGTGATGCCGGGAGTCATGGAACACCTGGTGCAAGGAGAATGCAGTAGTGAGCACCAAGCCCACACTGCCCAGAAACAACGAGACGTGAAATATCCTCGGCGCCTGCCATGGTCCGAATGATCCGCTGATCATGCAGCAAGAACTCATCATTCCCAAAGAACTTGCCCCCATTCCCACAGTGTTCAAAGCCTTTGTGAGCAGCATGTAAAATTAATTGTGAATGTTTACAATTGTTTGCAACTCATTCATTCCTTGCACAATTCTGATTTGCACAGTTGGATTCTGTGTAGATTTGCATTAAATCATTAAACAGTCTTTGCTTCCTGCGTCTACTGAGTCCACTCTGTCGGCTTTCCTCAACTCCCCAAGGGCAGAACTGTTACCTGTCTGGAATGGAGATAAATGGTTCTTCCACTAGAAGGCATGCATGGTGAAACTCTCTCTCTCTCTTTTTGTCTGTTAAAGTATTATGGTGCATACTGAATACTATTCCTTTTTTTCCTCTCTCTCTCTCTCTACTGCAATCCCTATTCGACTCTATTACTTACCAATTTCTCCCAAGTTGTCTAGTTTATTTCCGCAGCAGAATGAATGCCACTATCCATGAGTGAACCTTAAACCCTCCGATGCAGAGCAGCTGCACCTCTTCTAGGTGATCGAAAACGTAGTAGCCGTAAAGGGCATTCAACGGCATGACTACGCCAAAAGAGATACGGATAAGCGGACAAAACTCTGGGTTTCAGTTTGTCATATATAGCTGCGGCCACTGAGCGCGCTTGTCAGGAGCAATGTTTGCCGCTCGAACAATCTCGAACAGCTCTACAATGCAAGCTGGATTTTTTCAATGTGCAACATATATATATAATAACATATTATATTACATGATATTATATTATAATGTATTAAAATTATATTTTAATATATAATATATAGTATAATGTATATTACATTATAATATATAATATAATGTATATTATATTATAATATATAATATTATGTATTTTATATTATATTATATCATATTATATTATATCATATTATATTATATTATGTTATGTTATATTATATTATATGCTATTATGTTATTAAATTATATTAAATTATATTATATTAAATTAAATTATATTGTATTGAATTAAATATTATATTATACATAATATAGTAAAATATATTATATTATATATTATATTATATTAAATCATATTATACTATATATATTATATTAAATTATATTATATTAAGTTATATTAAATTATATTATATATTATATTAAATGATATTATATGCTATTATATGCTATTATATTTCATTATACTATATTATATTAAATTATATTATACTATATTACATATATGCATATCTATAGTCTAATAGTATATGATAGGATATGGGATGTTTCCTCCAAGAATCTGCTGCAACTGCACACACTTCGCTCACAAACGGTGTTTGAGGGACATAGTTTTACAGCGTTCGCTGATAGCACCATCCAACTCTCGCACTACTGGGGTCAAATACGAAATATATGCATTATAAAATATTAAATCACGTAATTATACTTTTTTAACTAGCAGCTCAGCAAACACGATGCAACAGAATACAACTCTGCAATTCCCACTCGTTCTTCTCCCTTATCTTCTCCCTTCCTTCGCTTCCTTTCTCCCATTGTCTCTCTCTGCCTCTCTCTCTTCCTCACCGGAGGTGTCTGGTAAGACGCAGCGATGGTAAAAACAGGATAAACAATATAAAAAAAGAGACAACATGGGACAACTCCCCAAAGCCAGAGACTGTGCTCCGTCTGTTTTTCTGGCTGCGCCCACATTCGCCAGCTACCCAGCGTTACCCAATCCTTTTCAGAATGGTCTGCAAGTGCGAGCAGTAAATTATTACTTAATATTACTTATATATACTTATATGGAGTTCACGGTGAATCATGCATGTCAAAGTTGAGGTGTCGACGTTGCTGAAAGCTCATCACAATCCATTGCTTCTCTAGTACATGTTTCGAGTCTTGCCACCCTTCAGTCCATACATCAAAAGACTTGAGAGCAACAAAGCCGCTGATGTAAATAATCCCATGACAATCACTGCGTCAACATCCATCAGCCAACCAACATTGGCTGCGGAATCAAAGTCCCGGCTGCATACAAACAAAACCTTTAACTTTTACTGTATAATGTCCTGGGTTACGGTAGGTGCTCATGTTTGCATCCTGATTGCACCCTGCAGCTGTTTACAACAAACTGAAGTCAATCAAGCAGTTTCATGCAGTTTAGTGACTTTGAAGCCTTGGGCCCAAACTGCTAGCACAGCATCACGGATTAAAGATGCCAAATTCATTGACACTTCAACTTTGACACTTCAACGGCTTCAACATTGATACTCTTTGGCTTCGTGAGCACCACATTTTCCCAACAGGTACAGTAACAGGGACGGGCCTCAAAGCTGCCTGCCATCGCCGGGCCTGCTGGGACAAGCATGATCTTTCATGCAGCAAATTGATCTCTACTCCAACAGTACTGCAAGTGCTACATCGGCTACATTGTGGGTGTCAAAGCAGAGTTCGAGCGATCTGTGCTTTTTAATACACTGATTAAAGCAAAATATCTTCAAACATGTACTTGAACATGGAAAATTGAAACACCCATCAACAACCCCTCAATGGTGGAACAAAAGGCAAAAGCCTACTCTGAACAATACCCTTATGTGAAAGAAATGTCAGCTATTTTGTCGCGCTTTCTCCGCCGATAATCCACGTCTTTTTTGCAGAGCACCTGGGGGAGAAGGAGGTCCCAATTTCCAAAACGAAGACACTAAGAAATGTACAATTTCATACTAATCATATTAATCATACCAGTAGTACCGCACAAGGCGGTGGCGGAAGTTTCAAAAATAGGAAACCTATAGGAGAGATTCGTTGTTGTGAATCAGGGATGGCAGAGCGAAGCCACTGATTGACCGAAAGGTGGTTGGAGTTGTGTTTGCTGGAAAGGTTGCAATGGTTGCAGTGGTCACCTCACCCACAACTGCTGGATGTAGTGTGATGTACTGCAACTGTAGTTGTAGTTGTAGCGTAGTGGAGTTGTAGTTGTGGTGTAATGTAATTAGTGTAGTGTAGTTGCAGTCATATAGTTGTAGATGTAGTTGTTTTGTAGTTGTAGTTGTAGTTGTAGTTGTTGTTGTAGTTGTAGCTGTAGGTGTTGTGTGGTTGTAGTTGTTGTGTATAGTAGTAGTAGTAGTAGTAGTAGTAGTAGTAGTAGTAGTAGTAGTAGTAGTAGTAGTAGTAGTAGTAGTAGTAGTAGTAGTAGTCGTAGTAGTAGTTGTTGTTGTTGTTGCTGTAGTTGTTGTAGTTGTAGTTCTAGTTGTAGTTGTTGTGTAGTTATAGTTGTAGTTGTAGTTGTTGTTGTTGTTGCTGTTGTTGTTGTTGTTGTTGTTGTTGTTGTTGTTGTTGTTGTTGTTGTTGT